TAAGATCTTATTTTTAAACCTTGATTTTTTTGTTGCTATTTTTGGAGCTTCTTAAAATTGGAACACTTTTTTTTTAATCTACTAGTCCCTACAACCAAATCCTTAAGGCAGGATGATTGTCTGTTAATAGCAGCTCTATAAATGAAATCCAGACTCCTTGTGTGTTCTTAAAATTATTTCTTTTAAGAAACACAGTCTTTGTGACAGAGACAGAGAGAAAGAGAGAGAAATAAGAGAGAGAGAGTTAGACAAAGAGAGTAGTAGGTGAAGTTGAATGAATTAAAATTCACATTTATTAAAGTATAGGGGGATTTACAAGAAAGGTTATACATTTTTATTTCTTGTTGCCAAGTGGGCTATCTATTTTATAACACACTTTGCTACTGAAGCTCTGTGGCATATGACCTCTCAGAAATCAATCTCTCTCTTGCAGTGTAAGCAATTCAGTTATTAAAATTCTTTAGCATATTTGTGATATTGCTCAATTGCTCAGTTTATGAAAAGGAATCTTCTTTATTTTCTCTTTTACCACTTCAGGTGTTGAGTGACTGAAAAAAAGAATTAAAAAAAATCACACACACACACAAATATAGACTTAACTTTCTTGAGCATTATCTGCAAAGCAGGGGTGCATTTTAAAATAATCAATTGACCTTGGGTGTTTGAAGGAACCTAAGAAAATTATACTTACATGAGAGTGGAAGGGAGAGGGAGGGAGGGACAGAGAGAGAGAGAGGGAGAGAGAGAGAGAGAGAACACAGACGTTTTCTTGGCCTGCTATTGGTTGACAAGAAGCATCTCTGTCTCATCTGAATTATGCATCAATCTTTTTTCCATCAGGTCCATGGTTAATTTCCAATACAGTTTGAGGACTTCAAAGCTTTCTTAGAATTTAACTGTGGAGAATTTTAGCCCCGAGTGGAAATGTGTTTTTGGATCTTAATATTATTTATTGAAAAAGAAAGTATATAAATTTCTTACAAGTCAAACCCACATATCTTGGTAGTTTTATCAAGATGCACCTGTACTTTGATGCTATCAGACTTAAAAAAACAAAACAAATAAAATTTGAAGTTCCAGGAACAAACATGATATTCTAAGAGCATTTAACTAATGAAACATTCAGGTAATGTAAACATTGTCTTATTTTATCCAACCAAAAGTGACTGATCAAGAAAAGGGAGTTTTAACAATGGTCAATTATATTAATATACACTAAATCAGTGGTCCCCAACCCCCGGTCCGCAGACCGGTGCCGGGCCGTGGAGTACCTGGCACCGGGCCGCGCAGCGGCCGGGGGACATGAACGCTGCAGCGCAAAGGCTCCTGGGCCGTGCGCAATGGGCCGTGCGCAAAAGCTCCTGGGCCGTGCCCCCACCCCTGCGCGCGCTCAGCGGGCCGCGGCGATAAAAAGGTTGGGGACCACTGCACTAAATGATACTCACCATATGAGTATCAAGCAATTATGATTCTTTACAAAATAATCACCAATGTTTTGCTTCCAATGAAGTGAAAGGATTGCCTCACTAGCGAAACAACTGAAAATGAATACAGTAGGTATTTCTGATTTAATCCTTGTCGTCAGGTAGGCTTTTTAAAAAATGTCTGAAATCCTAGAAGGCGTGGGATACTGATAGACCATAATCTGACTTGTTATATGGAAGTTTTCCCATATTCCTCTCTGAGCCCAGACATCCTTTTCCAGGAAAAAAAAAATTGTGATATTGCTCAATTTATGAAAAAGGAATGGTGTTTTTTAAAAAAGACTTCCCATATACAGCCTTAAAATTGCAGTGTTGTGTTCCTGTTGTGGATTAAATGACAAAATGCACATGACAAAAATAGATGGGAAGCTGTGTGTGCCAATTACAATATCCTCTGTTGCTGTTTTGTCAACCTTTAGGAAGAAATCCTGTAGTTGCCCAGGATGGTCCTCATATGCCACATTTGAGCTCCATGGAAGGAATGAGTGATCCAAGCAAGATTCTGCAAAGCAAGATCCTTCCATCTTTGAAGGCTTTTGCATAGGTTTTGGCATCACTTTCAAGTTGGCGCTATTTTCCTTGGCTCCCATGCTGTTATCTGGGATGGACAGCTGAGCCTATTTACTTGCAGCTCAGCTGCAGCAAAGGAGCGATTGGAACTCCTCCAGTTTCCATTTATTTTATACGACTTTTATTGAAACTCTTTGAACAGAAAATTAAATCCAAACTAAAAATGAATACAAAATAATATACAGTAAGGAAGAGAAGGAAGAAAAAAGAAATAGTAAAAAGCAAGAGAAAGCAAAAACTTCAAGAAAAATAATATTTAAGAAAAAATAGAAAAGAAGGAAAAAAGGTGCAAAGATTCTTCACAGTAATTGTGTAAGTACAAGTATATTGTAATCTCTCTCTCTCTCTCTCTCTCTCTCTCTCTCTCTCTCCAGTTACATTGTAATTTAATCTCTTTTCTTTCATATAATAGATTTTCTATAATTTACTCTGTCTATTCATCAAAGCTATAAATCTCAAACTCTTTTTTTCATTTTTTCATGGAACCTCTTGTGGTTCCAGCCACCAATAAATGTAATTTTTTCTAATCAAAGAAGTTAACTCCTTCAGTCCAAGACATGAGACTTGACCATCTGTTGGCCATTTCCAGTGGTGGGATTCAAATAATTTAACAACTGGTTTGCTGCCCTAATGACCGGCTGAGTGGGCGTGGCCATGGTGGGCATGGTCAGAAGGTGTGACAGGCAGCATTTGGCCTCCTACACCCCTCTGGGAGCAAAAACGGGCTGGAGGGACTTGCCACCCCTCCTGCACCCCTTTTTGGGCCTAGTAGGCCTCCCTGCACTTACCTGGGAGCCAAAATTGGGCACGTGTGGACTCCTGGAAGGGGCAGGGAGGGGAGGGGTGGGGCCAGCCAGCAATTTAACTACCGGTTCACCTGAACTGGCCCAAACCGGCTGAATCCCACCACTGGCCATTTCCCATGCAAACTCTCACTTCATTGTGGCTTCCAATTCCTTGGCTCTCCATTTGTCTTGCTTTGCTAAGGCCCATGGCAGCTTCTTTTACTTGCCACTTGAAAGTAACTGGAAAAGCTCTCAGGACACTTTTCTGCTGCCATTTAGTGCTTCTCTATAGGGCAGTGAAGGAAATCCTGGTCACCTTCTAGATGTAATTCAAGGTTAAAGTGACCAGACGTCCCGCTTTTGGTGGGACAGTCCTGATTTTTAGCAATTTGTCCCGTGTCCCGCGGCATTTTAAAAAAAGTCCCAATTTTTCATTCTGCCTCCTGAGTCCCGGCTGCCTCCTGAGTCCCAGCTGATGGCTAGAGGGGAAAAAAAACTGTTTAAACTCTTGCCGTGGGGCTTCAAAGGGCCCCCCCTACAGGTGATCAGTGTTAAAAGAAAACAAATGAGTAGACCGATGCCTGCAAAAATAAAAAAAAACAGCCCCTTACAGCTTCCGCATAGGTTAATTAGCACAAGTTGATTAGCTCGGCTTCCACACTCTCAGCTGTTTTGCGCAGGGCTCTGTTCTGTTGCTGGCTGCAAACAGTTCCTGGAGCAGATTTTTTCCCCCTAGCTATGCTGAAAAGCGAAAATGAAAGTAAAGCAGGGTCTTTGCTGCAACGTGACAAAATGAGGCAGAGAGAGATTTCTTTTTCTTTTTCCTCACCAAAAAAGGTAGGTGCAAAATTGCAAACAATGGGAAATTTAGGGCAAAAGAGGAGAGTTCAAGATTTTAAAACACAAAAGATTCCCTATTTAACTAGGGAATTGTAATAATTGAGATACTATTAATTGTATATTGTGTTGAAAGCAGAAATGGTTAAGTTGTGGTTTGGAGGAATATATGGGGGAAATTATTTGGTTTATTATTATTGGTAAATATAATTAATTGATTTGTAAGAAATTGGATTGCATGGAAATAATTGGAATATTCATGTTCATATTGATTAATATACAAAAAAGATAGTTATATAACTAATTGATTTATATTAAAATGTTGAATTTGTATTAAACAACTGTATTACATAATTACATAATTAACCAATGTGAGGATGGATATAAAAATAGATGACAATGGGAAGGGGTATAATATAGAATAGAAGGGAAAAATTGAATTTGATTAAGATTAGAGATGAGGATGAAGAGTAATATTGGTTTTTTAAAAAAATAGATGAGGAATAAATATGGCAAAAAGGAAATATAGAAATTGTAAATTTAATTGAAATGACTAAACACTGTTTAAATTTGTGAACCAGCCAAATATTCTGTTCAAAGAAAATACGTTGTATGTTTGTATGTGTGTTTCTAATTATTGCTATTTATTCATATTTGTTCTCTTTTATTCTTTAAAGTTTAACGATTCATTCTTTATCTTAATATCTTTATATTTGTTTGGGGTTGGCTTTCTTCCCTTTCATCTTTTTTATTGTACAGCAATCTTTCTCCTCAAACCTACCACCTCTCTCTTTTCTTTCCTTCTTACTTTCTCTTCTCCCCACCCTCTTCTTCTCCTCCCTACTTCCTCTTCCTTTCTCCTTCTCCTCCTCTCTTCCTCCCTCTCTTACCCTCACTCCTACTCTAATTTCCCTTCCCTTCCTTCATCCCTCTCTATTGCTGTATCCTTTTATGCATATGGACTACTCAGAGGGCTGAAAAAGTTATTTTTGACTGGTCCTCACACTTTTGACCAGTCCTCGAACTTACGACTGTCCTCACATTTTACATTTTTGCCCTATCTTGTCATCATGGTGAAGAGAAGCAGTTGTGAAATGAGTGACATGGTTGTTAAGAATGCTGCACGGGCATAAATGTGAGGATGGTCATAAGTGTGAGGACCAGTCAAAAGTGCGAGGACCTGTCAGAAATGACTTTTTTCAGCCCTCTGAGTAGTCCCTATACACATAGCCATGGCCACCCGGTCACATGACCAGCTAGCCACGCCCACAAAATAAGCCACGCCCACAATGGTGCCCCTCTTTACCAATGTTAAAATCTGGTCACCTTATTCAAGGTGCTAGTATCTGTTAAGCTCTACATAGCATAGGACCTTGTTATACATACGACCACCTGCTCCTGAAGGTATTTGTCTGTTTCACATGCTCTGACATCCCCTTACTGAAGCAATGTCATCTTAAATGACACAGCTGTCAGCCCCAGTAGCTGCTTCTGGGTGTTATCTTGTCCAGGACTTTAAAAATGTTACAAAAATGGCTTCATTCCATTTTCTCTGAGCAATAATTCCTGAGTATTTCGTAAAAGTCATTTCCTGAACTTTTACCCCAGGAGATATGCCTTCTTGGTTGTGGCTATGATCATCCCCCTGATATATGGATGGGCCCAACCTATAGGCCTTTAAGAAGGTTGCTAAGCCTTGACTCTTGTTTTGGTGCATGAGGCCTGTATGAGTTGAATCCCCAGTCAATGAAGATTTCAGATCTGATCACCATTTTATTGTTTTAGTATGTTTTAATTAAATATGTTGTTTTATTTATTAATTATGATTTCTCTTTTTCTTTTTCTATGATACAGAGTTTGTATGATACAGAGTTACATAGTTTAAATTGGATTGCCATATAAATGCTTCATTAAAAAAAAATGTGGGGGAAATATGATCCATGAATGCTTTCTCTTATATACACTGACTACTAATGTGGAGTAAAAAAAAAAAAATCAGATCCCTCTTTTCTTCATGGCAGGTGATGAAAGGTTCAAAAGCACATCAGTTTCACTATTGACAAAATGAAATCATTCAGCACAGAGCCTTGGTGTTTATCTGACAGCATCATTTAAAGAATGAGTATTGAATTTCATCACTGCAGCCTTCAATTGTTTTTATTGTACAAATATTACCAAACCATTATTAAATAAATCTATGAGCCTAAATATGTTTTGAAGCTTCATCTTTGCCGCAGGTTTAGACATATTTGGGTAACAAAGCACATGCTTTGCATTCAAAAGATCCCAAACTCAATCTTTGGTATCTCCAGGTATGGCTGGAATAAATCATTTCTGAAATCTTGGAAGAGCTACCTCAATCAATGTGAGCACCGATCTAATCACATTTGGTCTGTTAGATATATCTCCTGACTTTCCTTCTATCCTCCTGGATTCCTTCTCATTGCCATGCTTTTCAGTCCAATCACTCTTTTTGTTCCTTGACATGTCCTTGTCTTCAGGGAACAAGCATAATTTGAAATGTTAATTGAGAAAGAATGGCAGATAGTGCAGCCGTCACTCAGCACATTGGAATAGACATACTACAGATCAAAGGATCAGTATGTAAAGCAAGTTGGCTACTTCCCCTGGGCCATTATAAATGATCTAAGGCAAACTTGTGAGAATTATTGGCAGCTCCCAGATTATAAACCAGATCCATTCCTAGGTCTGTCTTTAAGTTGAATTTAGCCATCAGGTAATCAAATGTGTGTAAATATATATTACATTCCTATGCATAAAAACACTTAAGAAACACTTCCAAATACATTAAAACACCTTAAACATGCAAATAATAACAATAACAATAATACAGCAATAGTAAAAGTAATTACATGTATTATTGTTCTGTGGTGTGTGTGTGTGTGTGTGTGTGTGTGTGTGTGTGTGTCCAGGTACAATACATTCAGGGGTGAAATGCTCCTGGATCAGATCAGATCGCTTGAACTGGTAGCAATTTTTCCCTGTGGTTCAGTGATCCGGTAGTGATTGCTGCCCGAGTATCATTACTTCCTGGAACCAGGAAGTAATGTTTTTTTACCTTCTGTGCATGCGCAGGTGTGTGCATGCACATGACAGCATGCACTTCAGAACCAGTAAGGAAGATAAGTAAATTTCACCCCTGAATACACTACACTATATTACATTACATTATTTTAATACAATACATTACATATAATAATAATATCCTTAGTAATAGGCAACTTGGGTGCAATCTCAAAACATCTGGAGCGCCACCTGAACACCATCAGCATTCACTAAATCACCATCAATCAATTGCAAAAAAAAAGAGATTTACTTGGAATAGTTTACCCCCTGTGACAATACCTTTAATGCCATCAAATAACATTTGCCTATCCTGGAAAGGTCTCAATAGGTGTGATGGAAAGTAGTCCAGAGTGACAATAGTGAGGGATTCCTTCACAGAGAGCAAAGAGATAACATAGCTTGCAATTTTGGGTATATAGGAAGAGGCCAAATACAGGTTCCACTGATGTCTTGCGTACAGGAAGGGGCATTCGTGAGCTAACATTAGATGAACATTAATAATTTGATTATTAAAGATAAGATGACTATATCAGATGACAGGTCTGGTGTTGGGGGAGGGTACTACAGAAAATAGCCATCAAGGCAGGTTTGTACACAGCTTTCATTTTCTTGTCAAAAAGGGCCTTGTAGCAGTTGAGGTCCTCATAACTGTATGGTAAACTTTGGTAAACCTTTCTGCTTTAGCATCTTGCTCCTCTAACTTTGCCATCCCTACTTCAGTGACATGAAAGTCTTTAGCTAAGTCTTTCATCAAAAACATTTTCAGCTCTCAAATTTGTTTGTTCTCATTTTCTTCCTTAAATGCTATCATCTACTACTGTAGTTGCATTGGTCACTTCTTCAATATGGGAGGCAAATAAGTTACATCTGATTTCTAATTGCGCTTGACTACCAATATCAACCAACCACAGGCTGCTGGCTTTTGCAATGTCATGAGTTATAAACTCCTGAAAAACATGAGTGAATTGTGGGCACAATTTGTTCACACGCCTTTCATATTTGACTGTTTCACTTCATCCCCAAAATCAGTAATATTTTTGTTTTGTTTTTATTTTAATTTTTTTTTAATTTTTTAATTTAAATATACAATATTTCACCCTGTGCTATACATAAGAAAGGAAGATTTGGTTCTTCAGATATATCCTCATGATCGCCAAAATCCACATTCTCGGGGTACAGGTACCGAAGCATCCAATTTTCCCAGGACATAGTCCACAAATGGTTTCCAAATTTTCCAGAAAATATCTTCTTTATAGTCACCATTTCTAATTTTAATATCACATGTCATTTTATCATTTAAAGCTAATTTCCACATTTCACAATACCATTCTTCTATTCTAAAATTCACATCTAATTTCCAATATCTGGCTATTATAATTCTACCCATTATAATCATAATTCTAATCAATTCTTTCTCATATTTTGTTGGTTCTATTTCCTTAATTATCAACAGTAATATAGTTTCTGGTCTCAATATTATTGCTTTCCCCATCATTTCAAATATCATTTCCTCCAATTGTTGCCAAATTTTTTTAACTTTATCACATTTGTACCACATATGTTCATAAGTCCCTAATTCCATGTCACATCTCCAACACTGTTTACTAATTTTTTTATCCATCAATGACAATCTTAATGGAGTCAAATACCATTTCCAAACAACCTTATAATTATGCTGTTTAATCCTTACAGATAAAGTCTTCATAATTCTACTCTTCCAATTCACGTTCCAATCTAAATCTGATATTTTAATATTAAGTTCTTTTTCCCAATTCATCTTCATCACCCTTTGTGGTTTTCCATCAAAATTTATAATCTTATATATCTTACTAACGAGTCCCTTTAGCCCAATTTCATCTTTCATAATTTGGAATACTAAATATTCAAATTCAGTTTTACTTCTACTTATCGAACAATTGTCCCTTACCTTCTTAGTCCATTTTTCTATCTGTATTTTTTCAAACCAGCCTAAACCCAATTTTTCAATGATTTCTTTTTTCCTCCTTTCATTTTCTGAAGTTTTTAACCAATCTATTATAGTTTGTATATTTTCATCTTCCATTACCCTATCACGACTTATATTAGTTTTAATTGGCCAATTTTCAATTGTCTTCCCTAAGAAAATTATATCTGGAATTAAAATTTTAACAAATTTGTTCCAAATTTTACTCAGTCCCTTTAACCAATAGCTATTAATTACACATTTTGATTTTGCTTTATCTAAAAACCATGTTGAACCAAATCTCTTGATGTCCTTTAATTCTAAATCTCTCCAATGACTATCTTCACCTTTAAATATTTTTACCACAGTCCGCATAGCATAAGCCCAATAATAATTGAGTAGTTTGGGGATTCCTAATCCACCTTCCTTTTGATTTTGATACCACATTTTCTTCACTAATCTAGGTCTTTTCCCACCATTGCAAAATTTATCCAATTTCTTCTAAAAATCAGTAATATTTTTGATGGCATCATAGATATAGTACTTCTTTCAGAACTCCCTTAAGCTCATCACATCATCTTGGGTAGCCCTGACTGCTTGTGAAAAACTCTTAAAGGCCTTAAAGGAGGCTATGACTCTCTGAGTAGCAATGTAGTGTCGGACAGTAAAAATATTACCTTTACATTGGGGTGAAGGTTATCTAAACTGCTTGGATGTCCAAATGCATTGTTAAGCACAAGGAGAAATTTGAAAGGGGCTTTATTGGCCAAGCAATGATATTCAACAGCAGGGACAAATGGTTCAAGAACCAATCTTCAATTGTAACCCAAGCCTTTGTATTTGCCTTCCAAATAATGGGAGAGTTGCTTTAATGGTGTAGCAAAGTGCCCTTGAATTTAAGGAACACAAGCAATACATAAGCAAATGCTTGCTCTTGAAATCCCCAGATGCATTACCTCCAAGCAGTTATATTTATCCTATCCTTTAATGTGTTATATACATTGGTGCACTTTTTTCCTCTTTTAAAACTTTGGTCCTTTCAGGCATTTTTCCCCAAACCAACCTAGTCTCATCTATATTTAATATTTGGTCTGGCAAAAACCCTCCCTCCTCAATATTTTTTCCAACATTTCAGAACAATCATGTACAGCACTGATATTGGCACTTGGGGCTTCTCCTTCTGCTTTAATTTTACCTAAATTTGCCCTCCCTTTGAAAGGATTGAACCAACCCCTACTCACAACAAATTCTTCATCTCAATCACCTTCACTGGCTGAACAGTCTTTGAATCTTTTCTTGCAATAAAGTAAGGCTAATAGGCATATTACACTGTTTTTGATTGTCTAACCAAATTATCAATAGTCTTTCCATCTCAGTGATTAAACCACTGTGTTGTTTAGTAATTATTATAGCTTTTGTCAGAGCAGGGCCTTTCACGTGCTCCATTATTCTCACTTTATCCTTTAAAATTGTTCCAATCAATACTGACTGTAGCCACACATATTTCCAAAGAAAGATGGTGATCACTTCATTATTTCCACTTTATTTTCAGTCATGATTTTTTTCCCTTTTTCTTTTTGATATAACAACAGCACATGCATTGGATTTATGCATTTATTTATGTCCTATCACCTTCTGTTGCTGGTCCCATGGTGGGGGTTATTTTCTAATTTTTTTTAAAGAAAAGGTTAATATTTTTCTATCTTCTCTATATCAATAAATGCTCTTGATTAAATAAGCTTTTTTAGCATGCCCTTCTAGCCAAACAATTTAATTTCAGTTTGGGAAAATCAAGGCCAACATTTGCCTGCTCAGTTGGAAAGCTAAATACTATTTGGAGAATCTCCATGCCTTCATTGCCAAAAATTGTAGTGAATAGGACACACACAGAGCTTAAGCCCTTGCCACTTGTGGAAACCTTCCAAATCTCTGCTTTAATGCTGGAAAACTACATGGAAGATACAGGTGCATCCAACAATTATTTTATATGAGCTGTGGTGGCGCAGTGGATAGAATGCAGTACTGCAGGCTGACTATAGTTTGGCAATTCGATTCTCACCAGCTCAAGGTTGACCCATCTTTCTATGGTCAGTAAAATGAGGACCCAGATTGTTGGGGGCAATATGCTGATTCTGTAAATCGCTTAGAGGGAGCTGTAAATCACTGTGAAGCAGCGTTA